AGTTTAATAGCTCCAATAGTTGTGATACTTGGACTAGTTTGGAATTAACGTGAAAGCCAACGTAAATCACATTCTCTAATTGTGACAGACCCATGCGAGTCTCTCAAAACTTACAGTGTAGGAGAAATGGCTCCTAGTTAGGAGAGGGGCTCAACTAGGGAAGTAACTTGCTCAAGGTCACATGGCTTGTCAGCATCACAAAGCAAGATTTGATTCCAGGACACCTAGATTCCAGTATCTCTGCTCATAACGAACTATTTCCTGCTGCCTTCTCCTGCTGACGTTGACCTCACTAAGAAAGGGAAGCTGAGGTTCGTGTTCAAGATGGCGACATGGAGGATCCTGAACTCACCTCCTCCCATGGACACACTGAATCTACAGTTACCCATGGAAAAATTTGCTCTGAAAAACCCCCAAAACTAGCAGAATGACCCCTTCACATCCAGCAAATGAGAGGGAAAAAATCACATCAAAGCAGGTAGGAAAGGCTGAAAAACAACCTCACCATTAACCCAACTCCCCACCCTCTTACCCCCTACCCATTCACCTCCCTACCCCTCACCCTCTCAACTCTTTACCCCCTCACTTCCTTGCCCCCTACCGCTGCACCCTTAACCCCCCACCCCCCAGCAGCAACCCACAATTGGGAGGGGACTCAAAACCCAGAGCTTCTCCCCTGAGGAGTTGGTACCCATATTAGTCACCCCAGCTTTTGAGACCTGCTCCTGAAAGACAAGCCCTCAAAACAGCTAGCTTTGAAAAACAAGCAGGCCCAAGCCCAAAAGACCTGTGGGGCTGCGGCAAACTGAGAAACAGCTCTGAAAGAACTCACACGTGGACTTACTCACCGTGTAACTCACGGGCTTCTGGCCCGATGCAGAAGCAGCCTTTGAAAAGTGCTCAGACTTTATGTGACAGAAGGTCATTTGCTAATTTTAAAGCGTTGGACTCGAGGGCAGGGGCCTGCTGGGATACTCTCTGGACAAAAACCGATGGACGCCATCTTTCTGCTCCCTCCTGGCGGGTGCCATCTTTGAGGCCCCTCTCTTCCGTGCTTCTCAGCTCCAGTTTCTCCTGGAGAGGAGCTTCTATATGCAGCTGATGCCCTGGTTTTGCCAAGACCCAGTTTTTGTGGCTGTAGCCCAGGGGATGCCCCTTGATCACCTGGCTCTGAGCGCCTGGGGGCTTGTATTCCTGGGTCCCATGGGACAGTAATCATCAGAGATGTTCTGGCCTCTGTATAGAGAGCACACTGAAATACAGCCCCAGTCCTTCTGGGAAGGAGGCCTATTTGCTTGTTGAGGAGCTTCGGCCTGCCCACTAATTGGGGCCTACACAGCTGCAATCAAGGAACGGAGGCCTGCGGAAGCAATCTCTGTGCTCTCTGCCTTGCTCCAGCTGTCCCATATATTAAATAGCCACCACCCTCGGGTCACAGCAACAGGAACTCAGTCTTCCTGTGAAAGGGACCTATTGGGCCTGAGGGTCTGGTTTCCAATCAGCCTGGATCTAGGCGTTGTCTGAGGTCCTTTACGACACTGACAGGTCCTGGCATACCCTCAACTACTGGGAGCTATGAAAAATAAAATAGGCTGCTTGGACAATCATAAAGGTTTGAGAGACCACCAAGAACTAGGGCAGAGGGTTGAATGATAGGTTTCACTGTACATAGTTACATTTTTTTTCTTGTGATTATAACTTTTAAGATGTACTGTCTTAGGGGTGCCTGGGTGCCTCAGTCAGTTAAGCGTCTTTTTTAAATTTTAATAGTTTTTTCTTTTTTTAATGTTTATCTTTGAGAGAGAGCACAAGCAGGGGAGGGGCAGAAAGAGGGGGACAGAGGATCCAAAGCGGGCTCTGTGCTGACAATGGCAAGCTCAATATGGGGCTTGAACTGCGAGATCGTGACCTGAGCTGAAGTCAGATGCTCAACCACTGAGGCACCCAGGTGCCCCATGCATCTGACTCTTGATCTCAGCTCAGGTCTTGATCTCAGGGTCATGAGTTCAAGTCCCACCCTGGGCTCCATGCCCTGCATGGTGTCTACTTAAAAAAAAAAAAAAAAAAGATGTACTCTTTGCAGCTTTTAAATATGCATCACAGTATGATTAACTATAGTTGCCAAGCTGTACATTGCATTCCCGTGATTTCATGATTTGTAACTGCAAGTCTGTACCTTTTGACCCCCCTTAGCCCATTCCCCACAAACCTCTCACCTCTAGCAACCACCAATCTGTTCTCTTTATTTATGAGCCTCATTTCATTTTTTAGATTCCACAGATAGGTGAGATCATACAATATTTATCTTTTTTTCTCTGGCTTGTTTCACTTAGCATAATGCACTCAAGGTCCATCCATGTTGTCACCAATGGCAAGATTCCAGTCTTTTTTATGGCCGAATAATATTCCATTGTGTGTATGGAATGGAAGATATCTCACATTTTCTTCATCCATTCATCTATCCAGGGACACTTAGATGATCTGTTTCTACATCTTGGCTAGTGTAAGTAATGCTGCAGTGAACATGGGGGTACATATACCTTTCCAAGTTAGTGTTTCCATTTTCTTCTGATAAACAAACAGAACTGGGATTGCTGGATCATATGGTAGTTCCACTTTTCTTTTTTTTGTCATTGTTTTTACATTTATGTATTTTTGAGAGACAGAGTGAGACAGAGCACAAGTTGGGGAGGGGTAGAGAGAGAAGGGGACAAAGAATCTGAAGCAGGCTCCAGGCTCTGAGCAAGCATTTGGCACAGAGCCCGATGCGGGGCTCGAACCCATGAACTGTGAGATCATGACCTGAGTCGAAGTTGGTCACCCGACTGAGCCACCCAGGCGCTCCCATTTTTCATTTTTTGAGGAACTTCCATACTGTTTTCCATTTTTGTCACTATGTGTGGTGATGGATGTTAACTAGATTACATTAATGTAATTATTTTGCAATACATACAAATGCCAGACCATTATGTTGTATATCTGAAAGTCATAAAATGTTGTCAATCATGCCTGGGGAAAAAAAGAAAAAAAAAAAAAAAAAAAAAAAAAAAAGGAAAGAAATGGAAGGCTGATCCTGACATGCAGGCCCCAGGACAGGCAGCGGCCACAGAGCAAAGGCTTCCTTTGTCAGGAAGACCTTCCCCTTCCTCAGTGGGGGCAGTCCCCACTTCTTGGTCATTTCAGTCACCTCCAGGCTCCGAATTATGGCCAGAGGGGAGTTCTGCCAGAAGAAACCTCACAGTGGCTTCTGGTGTGGGCACCATGGTCAGGGGGGCATGTCACTGCCCTAATCTGAGGGCACACCTGGAAGAAATACCCATATTGAGGTGGAATGCGTTCCCCAAATTACAAATCAGGGCATATACTAAAAAGCACCTTTGTAGCCAAAACCTCAAACAGCGAGATAGCATTGTGTTAAATCCCTCCAAAAATTGCTTTCCAAAGGACTTTCTACCAACATACGTTTGTTTAGTTACTCCTTGATGTCGAGTTATCAGTTGGGAAATGCTTTTTAACTTAGATGGATTTTTGTCACTTGGGGATTGGCTAGTTCACTTATACGTGACGTATTGGAAAAAGGAGAAAGTGAAGACCTGGATTCTAGTTCGAATCTCACCTTTACCAGCTGCATGAACTTTTGAATCTCAGGCTCCTCACCTTTCAAAGGCAGAAATTCATTGCCTGTCTTACATTCGAATTCCAGGAGCTGCACACGCGCCCCTCACGGCCTAGAACACACTCTAATACTTCACTTGGCCGGTCACTTGAGTCATCATCACAGGTCTCCTGTCCTTCAGGAAACCTTGTCTTGACTTCATCCTCCATTCTGCACCCACAACCTGTGCAAACATTCCCCTTTTCACACCATAGGGACAATGAACTGATCTCCATTAGACTTTTGGCAGGAAAGACAGTTTATCTCTGCATTCTCAATGCCTAATACTTACTAATTACAGCTTTTCTACAAACTATACAGTGCAACATAAAAAATGTTACTCAAACTGTTAATCACTGAATTATTGAAAATACAAATACATATGAGTACCTTAGTTTGCTGGCATCTTAAAAAAAAAACTCCACAATCTATAAAGAATTATAAAAGTTTCGGGGCACCTGGCTGGCTCAGTCGGTAGAGCATGAGACTCTTGATCTTGTGAGTTCGAGCCCCAAGTTGGGTAGAGAGATTACTTAAAAATAAAATCTTTTAAAAAAAATTTGTGAAGTTTTGAGTAAACAACCTTCAGCCTAGTTCAGGTTCTTCCAAATATTTGCATAGTTTATTTACTGCTAAATTTTCATACACAAACATACTGAGCAAATAAAAATGACACGATGTCCCATAAAAGTTGGTAAGAGAATTTTATTGTGTGACATATGTAGGTCTTTGCATTCTACTAACAGAAAAGCATTTGTCCACATCTTAGTCGACCTAACAAATTACGTATCTGTGGTTTTTATCTACACGGCTGCAGTGTTACACTATTGGAGAAAACCTTCCTTTCACTTGTACTTTGGTGCGATTATACAGTAGATACTTCCTCCTCCAGAAAATAAAAATATTCTCAATCTAAACTTAAAATGGAACAAAGACATGAACACCAAGTTGCCTGCACCACTTGGTCAAAGACTGCAATAAAAACCGAAACAGTATGCTGCTTAACGTACGAAGATGAGGAGACGTCTCTGCCAGTTTCAGCCAAACCTCTGTAGGAATGATATAGCATCTGGGTTTATTCTTCCTGTGGTTTTCACACATGACAGGTAGAACTGTACCGCAACGAGGAACAGTCACATTCTTCACTTGCTCAAGAGACTCAGATACTGGACTTTAGCGCAGGAAATATCTCTTGGGGCTTAGTAATATACAAATGGGTAGAAAAAAAAACTGCCTTAGGAAAAATTTCACAATTGTTTGACTAAACATCTGAAGCGTTTCTGTCACAGCTTTCATATATTAAAAAAGTTTCCTCCAGAGATGAAGCTTATTTATGAAATAAAACCTAGTCGCTATCGTCTGATCCATGTTCTGAGCCCCGATCCGAGGCCTCATTGTTGGATCCCTCTGGTTCTGATTCATTTCCAGAGCCTTGGCCAGAGCCCTCGTTATCAGATCCTCTCTCGGAATCGTGGTCTGACTCGGCACTTGGAGAAGCCGGGCGAGAGTCCATCTCAGAACCTCCAGAGCGGCTTCTCCCAGACTGCACAGATTCGTTGTCAGACTGTTCAGAACCCGAGGGCCTTCTCTTTCTGGCTGGCTGGTCACTGTCTGAATCCTCATCTGACTGCTGTCTTCGGGGCCTCCGGGGACTGCCGGCCTCGCTGCCAGACTTGTTCTGGTTCTCATCAGAATCGCTGTCCGAAGAGGCACGTTTCTTCCGCCGTTCACCCTCGTCGGAGTCGCTGTTGCTGTTGCTGTTGCGGTGATGTCTGGCAAAGACAAGCACTGGTTAGACACCAGGATTTGGGCTAATGGGAGCCTTGACAAGCAGAGAATGTTGTCTAAACAAATAAGGGCATTTAATATGCTATCTCTTGACGTGGAGGGTGTTAACTCCGGTGTTCACTTTGTGATATTTGTTTTGTGTTCTGTTTTGTAAATTTGATATATTTCACAATCAAAAAGGATTAAAAAGAAAAAATAAGGCACTTTAGTTATGACACAGCATTTAAACAGTAAAGGAGGACTCTCACTGGGTTCTATCAGGCACCTTTCAGCAGAATGAAGCACTTCTCAACTTCATACATAAAATTATGAAAAGGAAGGGCTACATTTATCTTTATAAGCAAATTCATAGCAGAAGTGAAACCTAGGATTTTGCTTGGCTGTAGGGACTCTGAAGAATTAACCATCTCCCAAGGCTGGATGAGTGGGACTCTTCCCCGTCCTATCAGATACCTGAAGAGCAAAGGCACCATTTCTATCCAGGATTTGCTGCTGCACTCGTGCCCTCCACCAGGTTGAGTCTTACTCAAGATAAGAAGCCAGGGCTGAAAGGCTTCTGTAGCTCACTTACTTTTGCCCTGAGTTCCCCTCTACTTATCAGTTGATGGGTTAAAGGGAATGGGACTTGTACCTATGCTTGATATGGTGGTGGCACCCAGGAAATCTTGGCTTCCTGGAGGCTCTGGAGGAAAGAACATTCCCATAACTGTGGTGACAGCTGCTCACCCCCCAGAGCTCTGGACAGGAGAACATACTTCCCCTGTGGCATATTCCTCAGTTTTGGATTCCATGGAAAGGAATACTAAATGGCACAGGGTTCAGTCTAAAAAGGGCGAAGGAGACATAATACATTCTTCTGTTCAGAAATGAAACCATCTCCACATGACTGAAGGAAGGCTCTTGGTGCTTAAATCTGAGAGAAGAAACCTACACATACAATATGTAACTCCGGTCACCCTGAGTGGATATGAAGAGTGAGTAAGAAGAAGACACTACATTCATTCCCTATATATACTAAAGGCCAGTGGGCCTCCTGGGTCCAATTCCCACCATTCCACCTGGCCAAATAAGCAAACACTTCATGACACTCAGGATCAAGTTTAACTGATGCAAGTGGCTCAAATCAACTTGGCCTTGACCTCATAGTTTGACAGCAGCTCAGCCTCTCACATGGACCTTTCTGCCTACACATTTTAACAATGCTCATTCTAAAACAATACATTTCACTGCTCTGCTCATGCTGGCCTTTTACCACTGACCAGGGTAACACTGTGGGCAAGGGTAAAGCAACCCCAATGTGTGTCAGCCAGTGTCTTCAGAGAAAAAAGGAACTGCAAGTCTTTACAGATGCCTCTCTAGAGATCGTTCAGCACCCCCACTGTCACCCTTAGTTCTCTCAACATGCTAACTGCTCACCTCTAACTAACCAGCACTCCATTCTTCTTCAAAGATTCAACTCAAACAGCCTTTCTTTTACAAAACAAGTCTCTTACAACCCTCCCCTCAACTCCAGATTAGGTATGGACCCTGGAGAGCAATATACAAAACCATAAGTGACAATACCTATCCCACTATAGGGGGATATATCCCACTATATAATGTGGCTTTTTGTTTATGTTACACTTCACTGCTTCTAAAGCACACATTCTCTGAAGCCAGAGTCTAGGACTTTTTCCTCTGCATCCCCAAGCACTCAGCACACTATCTCATGGAATTCTTAATGGACATTCAAATGACTGTTGAACAAATGAATGAAATGACAGCCATCAGGAGAAATACATGGGATGGGATAGCATTATCCCAAGCTGGGGAACCTCCAGCTTGAGGAACAAGTTTAGGACAAGTAAAATCAATACTGCTTCTCCAGGTGTGCCATAAGCTAAAGGAGAGTAGTGGCCAAGCAGTCTAGGAGAAGTCCCTCATGGAGCAGGCACAGCTGAGTCAGCACTGCCCTACAAGGGAGGAAATGGTCAAGAAAGTCCCATTTCCACATGACCAGGATCAGGCTACTCATAACAGTTTTAGCCAGTTTGGTAAGTGTAGGAAAGTGAGACAATTCATTTAGAAGGATACCATCCAGGAAATTTCACCTAATATCCATGGAGAAATGAGATTTCAAAATAGGTTTTCTTCTCTGAGGGAAAAACATGTGACAGGACAAAATGACAGGGTTAGATTAAGAGGTGTGCTAAGGTTTCTTCCACCTCAGAGATTCTAAGAAGCTGGAGGGAAGACATTTTGGCACAGTGACCATTCTTATCTTTCATTAAAAGAACGCACTAAGGGAGGGGTGCCTGGGTGGTTCAGTCAGCTAAGCGTCCGACTCTTGGTTTTGGCTTGGGTCATGATCTCACAGTTTGGTTCAGGAGTTCAAGCTCTGCGTCTGGCTCTGTGCTGATAGTGCTGAACCTGCTTGGGATTCTCTCTCTCTCACCCTCTCCCGCTTACATCCTCTTTCTCTCTCTCAAAATAAATAAATAAACATTAAAAAAAAAAAAAAAAAGAATGTGCTAAGGGAAAAATTCATACCCTTCATCAGCAATTTTAAGTTTATCTTCATCTGAAGAATCATCGCTTGATGATATTATGGCTTTGGATTTTATTTTTCCCTTCATTGAAGGAGGCAGACGCTCTGGCTTGGGCTACAGAAAGAAGATCAGACATAGCAGATTAATCACGATTCCTAGGTTGCATTACGTTAGGACATCTTGTTAAACTTAGTTTGCGGTGTGATGATAACAAATAGCAACCAACACACTTCAAAAAGAAGCATTTGTGTTTGAAGAAACTGCAGGGGAAGAATACATGCTTGTGTAGGGCAAGCCTTTGTGCCTACAGCAGGGCATAAAAACCACACAGTATTATAAACTTACAGCCTTCTTCTTCTCTGCTTTTGGCGGACGTCGCTTTTTCGGTTTGGGGCCATTTTCTGTTTCCTCATCATCAGATCCTTCTTCTCCCTTTGGAGGTCTTCAAGAGTGAACAACAAGAGAAAGTCTGTCAAGGTTCACTCATGCCTAGAAAGTCTAAGACTACTTTGTCATCAAAATATTATTCATTCTGAATGCTATTCTCTATTGGGCTATCCTCAACCATACTGAACACTCGTCAAGGGCAGAGGCCATAATTTACAACTGCTGCACACAGCTCAGGAGTCTGCAAGAACCATGTATTTATGCAATGTCCACCAAATAATTTAGTCTCTGTTGAGTCCTCTTATTCATCTAAGATAAGCCTGAATCTTGTACTTGGTGGAGGGACAGAGGATGGGAGAAAAGACCCAGGCTCCTGATCTCACATCTTTCCTCTCTTCTTCCTTCCTTGCCAGCTACTCATTCCAGGCCTGCTGATGTCCGATCATAGCTTCCATTTAACAGGTCCATGTCGGAATGAACTCATTAGGTTCTTCCCCAAGTAGAGTCAGCCAGGGGTGGGAAGAACAGGCCTTGCTAAGAGAGCCAACTGGAGGTTCCTGGACAGGGAAGCACCACAAGTGAGGAACAGAACAGCTCAGGGGCACCTCCGGTGAGAGATGGGCGGGGCACCACTTATCTTAATAGCAAATGGCACCAGGAAGATTAGAAGGTCCTTCTCTCAGGGGCGCCTGGGTGGCTTAGTTGGTTGAGTGTCTGACTTCCAGTTTTGGCTCAGATCATGATCCTGTGGTTTGTGAGTTCAAGCCCCAAGTTGGGCTCTGTACAGACAGCACAGAGCCTGCTTGGGATTCTTTCCTCTCTCTCAGCACCCTCCCTGCTTGCACGTGCATGCATATGCATACTCTCTCTCAAAATAAACAAATAAACAAACTTAAAACAAAAATAAAATAAAAAAATAAAAGGCCCTTCTTTCACATTAATTCACATATTACACATCTAGCAAAACTTGAGGTGGGCATCACTATTACATTTTACACAAAGGAAACTGAGGCTTGGTGACTTTTCTAAGATTGCACGTGGATAGCGTGGGCACCACAGGTTTTCTCATTCTAAACTGCACACGTTTTCCAATAAATACATTCACAACACATTGATAATACCTTCTCCTCTTTTTCTTCTTTCTTTCACCCCCTTCCTCATCTTCCCCTTCTTGTTCACTACCGCTGCCCTTTCTTCTCTTCTTCTTCTTGGATATAGGCAGGTCATCGTCGGTATCGTCGTTGACAAATTCATCAAACTCTCCTCCCTTTTTAGAACGCTGCAATCCAAACAAGACTATAATCAGTTCTCGCCTGGCTGGTGGAATGAGGTCAGATCCTATCAGCCATTTGACAAACGAAGGATCTTTTATCAAGTTGCATGGGAGGGGTGGTGGGTGAGGCCCATATTTTGAAGACTTCTAATTAGGGTGAATGGCTCAAGTGGCTTAGGTCACCACCAGGTCCAAGTACGGAGCTAACACTGGAATGCATTTCCAAATAATACCATATAAAGCACTGTGTTGGAAGACTGCCTCTTAGCAAAGGAGGAGGTCAAAGCTAAGGACTAAGCACTGAGTAAACAGAACCAATTATATTCACTTCTGAAAGTCAAATGACAAGGATGGTGCCATCAGTACCAGCAGGAGTCACATCTTACCCGTCCACCACCACCTCCTCTTTTCTTTTCTTTTGTCGCTTCGGTCTCTCCAGTAAACATAAGAATATTTTTGGTCTTCTCAACATACTGGGCCCGCTGTTCTAAAAGTTTCTTTTGCTCTTCTTTTTCTCTGAGACGTTTCTCTTCCTATGAGGAAAAAAAGAGTAGGAAGAAACTGCATCAAAATGTTGAAAAAATATCACGAATACCAGCAGAAGGACTTCTTTTTTTTTTTTTTTTTTTTTTTTTTTTTTTTTTTTTTTTTTTTTTCAACGTTTATTCATTTTTGGGACAGAGAGAGACAGAGCATGAACGGGGGAGGGGCAGAGAGAGAGGGAGACACAGAATCGGAAACAGACTCCAGGCTCCGAGCCATCAGCCCAGAGCCCGACGCGGGGCTCGAACTCCCGGACCGCGAGATCGTGACCTGGCTGAAGTCGGACGCTTAACCGACTGCGCCACCCAGGCGCCCCCAGAAGGACTTCTTTAACATGCAAGGCATATGTGTGTGTGCACACCATTCTTGAATTCTAGTATAACTGAAAACACAATAAATACCTGTTCTTTAAGAAGTTTCTGCCTTAACAGTTCCTTTTCTTGCTCTTGTTTGGCCCGTAACTCCCTTTCTTCTTCATCTTGTTTACGTGCCCGGGCGACATGGTACTGAGCCTGGCTCAGTAAGTCAGAGCACTGCCTATAATATTCCAGATTTAGAGAAACATGAATGTAGCTAGTACATTTTTTGCTCAAAAACTCAGAGGATCTATTTTCCTTACACAAGCCAGAGAGCCAGCTCATTAGCAGATATTTATGGAATATTTTAATTAGCAAAATTAACTTAGTTTCTCATAAGTCAATACTGTCAACTTTGGTAACTTTCTAAATTATAAGTGTCCTCTCCAATCACAGATATATTTTCAACATTATCTCCACATGTGAATCAAAGAGTGAAAATAGATAGAAAGTATTTTCCCCACACAATTTAAGTACTTGTACTAAATTGATTTTGTCATATTTCCTGAAAGGACCCTTGGAAAAAAGACTTTGTCCAGGCTGGGGAGTCTCACAGACAAGTGGGAAAGACCGACCCCTGGAAGGCCACCCAGCGCACATCGACATCACTGCTTCACCCAAAGTCACCTTCCATAAGTAGTAACATTACCTGGCTTCTGTAGCAGCAAGGGCCAAATCGAATCTCATTTTATCTCCCACTTTACTCAAGTAACTGAAGTATCTAAATGGAATGAGAAAATAAAATACTTCACTGAAAAAAAATTATAATGAAACAGGCCCTTTAGATTTTTATTTTGTTACTTTTTAAATGTTTATTTATTTTGAGAGGGGGGAGAGAGAACACATGAGCAAGGGAGGGACAGAGAGAGAGAGAGGGAGACAGAAAATGCCAAGCAGGCTCTGCACTCTCAGCACAGAGCCTGACGTGGGACTCAGTCCCACAAACCACAAGGATCATGACCTGAGCCGAGATCACTTTGGATGTTCAACCGACTGAGCCACCCAGGTGCCCTGGCTCTTTAGATTTTTAATCTGCTCTACAAAAATAGTCTGAGAAAAGGTTTATGTATTGATTGACTTACATGAACCTATTTGATACATGAAAGGCTATCTCAATAAGAAAATTATGAGACCTACTTAAAAAGACTCTCATCAAAGTAGCACTCAATATGTTTAATAAAAAACAAGTTCATGAAGATAAGTAGTCATATTTAATATCATCAGTAAATTCACAAATAACTCAAAATCAGTTCATGCAGCCAATATGTAACTAAACACTGTATCTACTAAATACGTCCGCATGTGGGTTAGGAGGTGTATGCCAAGCACTTAGTCTACCAGGTGAGGCAAGAAATGCTTTTATAAGAATTTAAATAAGGTTAGACAAAATCTGAAGAGATATCAAGTTTTGATTTTACCACGCACAGAATTACAAATAAATCCCGTAGAAGTACATAAATTTTGAGCTCAGTGCAGAAACCCATTCAATATTTAAGAGGATAGGCCTTAATCTTAGCTCAATGAAAATTAATATTCTATGAAAAGACACAGCATTATAAGTAATAAAACCAACATAAGTGGGGTCTAAAAATTTCAAGTGTGCAAAATTCTGGGTAATATTACTGTCAGATTAATGAAAATTTAGGGCAAGCTTGCAAAACTAGCCAGCCAGTTCTAGGGGACACTACACCATCCAAATCTGGCAGGGTCCTGGTCACAGTTTGGCGCCACCTGGTGGCAGCCACCTGCTTTGGCTTAAAAACCACTGGAATGCTTCTAGTAGAGATCGCTTCAGGGAAGTGATTTTCAGTACTGTATGAGACAAACGAATTTAAAGAAACAAAGCATTTCAAAAGTTGTTTCTACAAAATCTTTACCTATGTGCAAGCTCCAGTTCTTTCACAGCATTAAGTACTTCCTTCAGATTACTCTTTTCATCTTTCAGAACAGAGGTAGCTAGTCTCTGCAGGACCAAGGCCACATTAAACATAAGTACTGTATCACTGGGCGCCACATGTCTAGCCTGTAGGTAAAAAACAAAGCAAATATTTCATATAATCTAATGACAAGAAAAGAAGTTTATTCAAATATAATGTTAGGTATACAAACATGCATAAAATAGAATAAAAGTATGTAACGCAGCATAGAATTAAGTGAGAATAAGGAGTTCTCCTTTTCACCTTTAGCAAAGTCTGTTTGCATTCCTGTAACTTGCCACACTTGAAGAGTGCCCGAGCCAAATACAGTACAACTTCAGTGTTCTGGTGCTTATAGAACTTTCTGAGGCAGTTTTCATACTATAACAAAAGAAAAAGTTAATTAAAATACAACAAGGATTAAATGATATTGTCATTGTGTAACAGATTTCAAGCAATTTTAAAGCTGCGTGAAAAGGTGTTTTACCCTTTGAATGGTTAATTTCAAAGAATAATTTGAGAATGAGTTTTGACATTCACCAGGATAGGTTTTCACAACACAAAAAGCTGATAAAAAAACAAACAACAACTAGGTACTCAAAATCGTTTTTCCATTTGAAACTTGGACCAATACTGAAAGGATAGATTGGATGGCTTTTTTCATATCTCTGGCAATAAAATCTATGGACAAGCTTACTGACAACTTATTAAAAATTACATACCTGGTTCCTTTGGGCTATACTCTCTACCACCTTTCTTTAGGATTGATGGAACCTACTGGCAATGAGCATGAGAAGTCTCACAGTTCTGGTTGTTAAAGTTTTCTTATAAAACCAATATATGGCAATACTGGTGTCAATTTTGTCATGAACACTTCACTTTTTGACCATGGATCATATCTTGTCATAAGCAAGCTCTTTTTCATGGAAGATGGTTAAAGAGTTTCCCCCTGAATATCCCTAGTAATTAACTTGCATTTTTAAAAGGCAACTTTATCATTCTGCAGAACAGGAAGGCCCACCTCCAAAAACACAACCTCTGAGACTACCATATGCAGTCTGGGTCCTATAAATCCTTGTGGCTAGTACCTTTCAAATATTCTGAATTTGATAATAACCACCCTCCTTAGAAAAAAGGTTAACCACTGCAAGGAGCCTGGCCTGCCCTTGTCATCTACCTCTGATAAGAACCTTTTTTTTTTCATCATAGTATTTCCCATAGATCCTAAGGATGTTTTTACTTTTTAATATGCTATAGATGCTAAATATTTGTTTTAAGATTTTATTTTATTTTTTTTTTTCCAACGTTTATTTATTTTTGGGACAGAGAGAGACAGAGCATGAACGGGGGAGGAGCAGAGAGAGAGGGAGACACAGAATCTGAAACAGGCTCCAGGCTCTGAGCCATCAGCCCAGAGCCCGATGCGGAGCTCGAACTCACGGACCGTGAGATCGTGACCTGGCTGAAGTCGGACGCTTAACCGACTGCGCCACCCAGGCGCCCCTAAGATTTTATTTTTAAGTAACCTCCACATCCAACATAGGGCTTGAACTCATCACCTCGAGATCAAGGGTCATATGCTTTACCGACTGAGCCAGCCAGGCACCGCTAGATGCTAAATATGACTCTTTAAGTTCAAGCACTCCATAAATATGAAAGGCCTAACAAAATTCTATAGTGATAAAAACTAATCCCCATGGAGTTTTTTCTTTTTAAAATATCATTTAACTTTTCTGAAACTCAGTTTTCCCATCTGAGAAAGAAGAATGTAAAACAAGCAAACAAATATTAAATCCTATTTTTTGGGTATTTACTGATATACTAGTACGTTAGTGCCAAGTATGGTGTCCAGTACTTTTCATACTGGATGTTTACACAATTCTGTGAATTTGAGGTACCTGATCTCCACTTCATAAATGGGAAACTGGCTCAGAGCCCAAGGCATGCAATTAGGGGTGGAACCAGGACTCGTATCTCTGTCTAGACACCAAAGACTGGCCTTAACATTATATGATGATAAGCCTGTGAATAGACACAGTATCACAAGAAATAGCATGCAGCTCCATGAGAGGGCCAGAATGGTTAAGAAAACATCTGCTCAATAATGAACACAATAGGGGTGCCTGGGTGGCTCAGTCAGTTGAATGTCTGACTCCAGATTTTAGCTCAGGTCATGACCTCAGGGTTCATGAGTTCGAGCCCCACATTGGGCTCTGCACTGGCAGTGTAGAGACTGCTTGGGATTCTCTCTCTCTCTCTCTCTCTCTCTGCCCCTCCCCAGCTTGTTCTAAGTAAATAAACTTAAAAAAAAACAATGAACACAATACAAAAATATCTTGAACGATAAGACATTACCATCTGAACGGCACTGATATATTGCTTCTGTTCCACATAGATGTGTGCTAGGTTCAACCACACATCACTGATATCTGCTGTTGCTTCTCTTACTTGGGCAAATACATCACGAGCTTCGCGAAAATATCCTTTGTGGGCCAAAACAGCTCCTAAAATTATAAAAAGGTTCACATTTAAGAATTTTTTAACTGTAAGGGTGCTTGCATGGCTCAGTCAGTTAATCATCCAACTTCGGCTCAGGTCATGAACTCACGGTTCATGGGTTTAAGCCCCATGTCAGGCTCTGTGCCGACAGCTTAGACCTGGAGCCTGCTTCTAGTTCTGTGTCTCCGTCTATCTCTGTCCCTCCCCAACTCACACTCTGTTTCTCTCTCTCCAAAATAAATAAACATTAAAAAAAAATTAAGGGGCGCCTGGGAGGCTCAGTCAGTTAAGCATCCAACTTTGGCTTGGGTCATGATCTCATGGTTCATGGGTTCCAGCCCTGTGTCGGGCTCTGTGCTGACACCTCAGAGCCTGGAGCCTGCTTTGGATTCTGTGTCTCCCTCTCTCTGTTCCTCTCCCATTCATACTCTCTCTCAAAAATAAATAAAAAACAAATTTTTTTTTAAATTAAAAAAAAAAGAATTTTCTAATTGTAGCCAGAAAAGCCACTAAAAGCCCTATTTTAATACAACTTCATTTATTACATTTAGGGAGAAATTATGATCTACAAACATTCCTCTGAAAGCATTCATTTCACAAATCACTACAGATGCCTGTGTCTTATAATCACCTATGCCATTAGCAGCATACAGATTCTTCGCGTCATTTCTGAGCACTTGTTTGTAGATGGCCAGGGCACGATCTTGGTGACGCTTTTCCTATAAAAAGAAACATACATTATAAAACAAAATTCAAACAGGAATCAAGTGTCTGTTTTGTTTTAAAGATACAAAAAGAAAAAAAAATAAGGGACAAAAAGAAATTACCTTTTCTCGATCTCGGGTGGGCTGATGCAAAGTCTGGAGCCAGACGTTGCCAAGGGCCAGCATAGAGTAAGTGTCACTCTGTGTAGATGGTTGTTTTAATATTCTCTCAAATTTCTTCTGTCCCGGACCCCATTCTTGTTTTGCTAAATGAAGATTGCCAATCAAAGACCAAGCATCTGGATGGTCCTGAAACACACATATAAAAAGAAACAAACTCTGTAATTTGGATTCAGAGATATTAATCACCTTTCCACAATAGCTGATTACCAAAGAGGTTTACAAGCCACATTTACAAATTGAGAGTGGGGATGGATTAATGAATTGTAAAATCACTTTAGCGTGTAGTTATCAGCATAAGAAATGTAACAGAATGGAATATAGAATAATGCCAGTGTACTGCACATGGCAACGGTACATAAAGATTTGCAAAACCTTCATTTTAGTTGTTGCATACACACGTGTGTATACTCAACTATGATGTAAAATCTATTTCTGTGGCTAACAATCAAAAAGTTTACATAACTTCTACACTATAGTAACTTCAACAAGTAAATAAAATAGGGTGATGTCAAGATATTAGAGAAATGATAGCCATTAAAATGAAAATCTAGGGAGAAAAGGTGAAATAATTGTTTTTCAAACCTAAGAGTTAATACGACTAACCTGATTAATCTGAAGAGCTTCCTTAAACCAATCTGAAGCCTCATAAAAATTTCCTTTATCTCTAGCCATGGCTCCAAGGCGCAGATAGCCTAAAAATATACATTTAAAAGTTTTTACGTTTAAAATATCTATAAAAGACCATAATTTTAAAGCCGTACTTTTGAAATGATTGATTTCTGTTAATACATTCACACAATGAACAGAAAAATCCCATAGGTAAAAAAAATTGAGCACCAATAAAACTAATTAATAATCTCACAAGTTAAAGAGCAATTCTGTTCCCATCAAGTCACTGTTTGAAATCTCGGATTTATTTCTTCCACTCTATTCCAGTGTTCACATCCTGGTCCAAGCCTTTATCTCCAGCAAAGTTATTTCAAAACTCAGAGCTGTTCTGTTTCCAGTTTCTCTCTGATGCACAGTACTGTCACTTTTTCTTAAAAAGCTGCTTGTCATAGGCAAAATAGTGAAAGCATGGACTACTAGGGATTACTAGTTAGAAAACCTGGGCTCTAATTTTGGGCTTCCACTTAAAGAACAGTAGAAAGGTGCCGCACAAATGTAAGTTGTTATTTTCTCCAGAAACTAATAATGGTTTACTACTACCCATCAAACCAAATTCAGCCTGGCATTGAACTAAATCTGATTTATTTTAAATCACTTTTGTATCCATAGCAGCATGACAGGGGCCAAGTTAATAGCTCCTGATTTAACCAGAGTCAAAATATCATAGCTTTAAGTACTTTTAAGGGAAATACAGTATTGCAAATCATTTTTAATTAAAAACTGTCTGAATTTTACATCTAGGATGTAAAAACTCAAAGTAGGACATTTTAGTAATAATTATTTTGAGGTAAAACAGTGCTTTTTCTATTATAAACATTGCAAAAATGCGAATATGAAATTAGAGCAGGAGCATCAGAAAAGTATATCTAGCACCAAACATGCCAAGGAATTGTTCAAAGTCTAATAAAGGTAGTTGGCACACTGAAGATCGCCTACTTTATGAAATATGGTTCAACCATTTTTAGTTGTTTCTTTTAGTTTCTAGCATAAATTTAAGTGAAGCTGCATCTTTTTTATTTTTTTAAGGCCACAATTTGCCTTGAAGAAAAGGCGACATGATAACCTTCATATTTTTTTACTATTGGTTCTAAGAAAGATTTTTTTTTTCAGGCTAAATTTTTGCTGCTGTTGTGGGAATTTTAATTCATAAAAAAAAGTTTACAATTCTTACAGTCAACATAATTAGGATGTTCCCGTAAGATGTTTTTATATAGTTTTTCAGCTTCGTGGAATTCACACATTGCCTCATACAGCCTGGCTAAATTGTACGATGTTGTAACAGAAATGGCATTATAATAATGTTCATCATGCTCAGCTTCTGCCTTTGCACGATCCAATGATGCCAAAAAATATTTCTATGAAAAAAAAAGAAAATTACATTGTTAAGACTTAGTTGGTACATCTAAAAAGGTGTGTGTTCCACCTGACAGTATGTAAGAACTGAATATTTCTATTTTCCTACCTTTGCCTCCCCTAGATTTCCAAGTCTAAAATGGAGGGCACCCACATTATTCAGAATCTCTGGAGGGACATCGGCCTGCACTTTCTCCTGAAGGATCCGTGTAGCTGTTCCATAGGCTGAAAGGGCACCCTGTATTTTCATGGTGGAGAGAATTCGGTGTAAGTGAAAACGAAAGGGAGAAACACTATACCACGCTTTCAAAAAACACATTATGTAGGAGACAAAAAGCACTGCTAAAATACCTGTATATCAGTCTGTTCTAAGATTTGCGCCAATTCAATCCAAGCTTCAACGTCATCAGGATACTGTTCTGTGACCTTCTTCAAATGGCCCTGGGATAAAAGAGATCATTAAGCTAAAGCAGGCTTAATTAAGCAACTACAGGCCGTCAAAGTAAAAAGTGGTAGCTACTCTACCTTGTTTAATACGTCAACTGTTCGTTATTTCAACTGGAACAAGCTCGGCTAACAAAACTGCTTCCATCATATCTCTACTAGCAATAACAAGAATGAGGAATGACAGTCTAGTGATAATGGAGAATAGCTAAGATTTTTTAAAATGTACCTTAGCGATATCTCGTTTTTCTTGATCTTCTGAGGCAGCATATAGAGAGCCAAGAATTTTCATAGTTTCATAATTATTAGGATAAGCTTTCAAAACTTTCTCAAAGCACTGAGATGCATTTTCTTTGTCACCTCGATATATATACATTTGTCCCAAGCCAAAAAATGGCAGCACAAAAGAGGATGAGGCAAATTGTGTGGCTTGATAGTAGTACTGGAAAGCTTGGTCATAATCTTCCTAAAAAATGAAAATAAAACAAGACCAACAGTATGTACGAAAGATTCTCTGCCTTCTTTTTAATGTACAAAAGTTTTGAAAAGACTTGAAAAACTATAAAACAAAAGAATTAGCTATTTGGAGAAGGTTGGAAATGACCTTACCTGAACGTGGAATGATCTAGCCAGCTGATAGCAACTTTCTGCTTGCATAGCCTCCACTTCTGTATTATGGAATGCATGGAGAGCCAAGTGCTGGACTTTACTATAATCCTGAACAAGGAGATCCAGAAACCAAATGAGTAAATTCAAACAACTCAAACAGTCTCAATCATAAGGCTTCCTCAAATTTCATTTTTAAAATGTGTTCACTGAATGAACAATAACAGCACAATACCTAGAATTACAAATCATTTTTCTCATTCCCCTTGCTGATAACTTCAGGGAAGATGGGAACTAACATTATTTACCCAGAACTTAATATCTACCCATTATATCTCTTACTTCATTTAATCCTGCAACAATCCTTTGAGGTATCCGCCATATTTTTGTGATGAGAAACCCTGAGAGGTCAAGTCCCTTATTACTAGTAAAGGGAACAATTACAATTTATTGAGAACTATTATATACCAAGCACTGTGGTATGATATTTACATTAGTTCTAGGCTCAGTCAAAAATCTTGCAAAGATTGTCATTATTATCATTTTATTGATGGGGAAATGGAGGCTTAAAGAAATAAAGTGTATTGTGGAAAAGCTAGAATCTGAATACAATTTTTTTTTTCCCGACACCAAAGAAATGTTCTAACACATGAGGGTAGCAAGCTTAAGTGACCAGATTTGAATTCAGCTCTATTTGAATACATGGGTCATGACTTTCCCATGGGTCATGACTTAATTTGGATTACCGAGCTAATCTCCTGAGAATCTCAAAGTCAGAGTTTATACATCAGGGATAGGAAACAACTTTCTGGTTTTAATAAGGACATGTTTTACCCATTTGGCTATAAGTCTGGTCTGGAGAGCCTCTGTTTGGTCAATGGACAGTTTCAACTTTTTTTTTTTTTAATATTAGGAATAATAATGTAATTGTAGTTTTAACAGTAACTCTTTCCCATTAGATAAGTATTTAATATGCACATTACATTTAATTCTAAATGCCACTCCTCAAATCCTATAAAGTAGGTATTTATTACTGTTTTACAAGTAAGGAAATTTAAGTTTAGGGAAATTATCTGCCCAAAGCAACATAACTATATAGTGGTGATACCTGAATTTGAACTAAATAATTCAAACTCTACACTCTGAATTATTTTGCACAGCCTTTTAGCTAAATTTATATATTGGTCCCTGGGATGAGGGTAAAGGTCAAATGTTGGGTTTGGAATATACTTTTTCTATTTTTGTTACTCCTTGACTCATGACATATCTCTTAGGGAATAAAATGATTCTACTTTGAAATTCAACATAAAAAGTATTGAAGATTACATTCCAATTTAAAGTCCTCATTCACATCTCTTTGATTTCCCCTCATGCCCCAATTTTTGTCCTTAATCCACTCTGCATTCTAGCTGCTTCTCTTTCCAATCAAACAACCAAGCTCAGTTCTCAGTTCTTTCTGGAGGTCTGTGGTAATTGCTCCAGGAGTCACCATGGCTCCTCCCATTTCTAAACCTACTTTACTAGTTAATTACTGAGTGTCTGGGATATTAATTAATAATACCTTTCCCCCCATCTGGTTAAATGATTCCTCTACAGGGGAGGCAATGCAGTGTAGTGGGCAGAGAATTGAAATACTACATCTCAACTGTACTATTTGCTAGATGAGTGAATTTTGGCAAGTGGTCTTAACTTTCTTTTTAAAAAATTTTTTTTAACGTTTATTCATTTTTGAGAGACAGAGAGAGACAGAGTGCGAGCGGGGGAGGGCAGAGAGACAGAGGGAGACACAGAATCCAAAGCAGGCTCCAGGCTCTGAGCTGTCAGCACAGAGCCTGACAGAGGGAGCTCGAACTCACGAACTGCTAGATCATGACTTGAGCTGAAGTCAGACACTTAACCGAATGAACCACCCAGGTGTCCCCCAAATTTAAAATGGAATCCTTTTCATTTGGTTCAAGAATGCTGTCCTAACAGCTGTGAGCAATAACTATTAAATATATATTCAAATATTTAGGATTATCAGTCCTTTGTTTTTTTCAGTAAAAACCAAACTTACTGTAACTGTTTTATCTGAAACAGTAACACTTTAAGTACTTATAAGATACATTTCCATCTTCTCCCTAAATAATTGCCTTTTCATACTATAAAAGTTACAGCATAAAGCTTAAATAATTAATTCATTATGAACAGCAAGTATGCTTTCTATAGCCAGAGGAAGTACAGCATTATGGTTAATAGCTGTATGACCTTAGGCTATAACCTCTGCCTCAATTATTCATCCACAAAATGGGGATAATATTAACTATCTCATAGGAATGTTGTGACTACTATACAAATTCATGGAATGCATTTTTTGAAAAATCTTATTTAAGTAATCTATACACCCCACGTGGGGCTCACACTCACAACCCTGAGATCAAGAGTCACACGTTCTTCTGACTGAGCCAGCCAGGTACTCCCACAGAATGCATATTTAATAGTACTTGGGGGGCACCTGCATGGATCAGTTGGCTAAGTGTCTAATTCTTGATTTTGGCTCAGGTCATGATCTCACAGTTCATAACATTGAGCCCCATATTGGGCTCTGTGCTGACAGGGTAGACACTACTTGGGATTCAATCTCTCTCTCAAAATAAATAAACATTTTAAAAAGATAACAGTACTTGCATATTAGTGGCAATAATCATGGTGATATAGTATCTATTATTAATAAGGATTAATACAGTTTAGTGAACTTTTACCTAACTTGCTATTTAGTTTAAAGTTCTTAGTACAGTTTAGTACCTGGTTTCCATATGGCAGATAAAACTTTCATACTTACTGTATAATAACTTTGCCAATGAAATACCGAATTTTAACATTCAAAAAAATCTAAAATACCATTGCTTCTACAGAATTAGTGGCAACTTTAAAAAATACATCTTGATCAACATGCAAAAACAAACAAAAACTTCAATGACTCATTGGTTGCCTAGAGAAGTATGTCCAAACATCTTATATCACACCAGTGTCCCACCATCTGGATCCAATGCATTGTCTATCATGAGCCCACCATATGCCATGCTTTTACTAAACTACTGAGAATATTTCATAGATCTGTACCTTTCCCTTTTCAACTACCTAAAGATCTCCTCCTAAAAACCTAGTTCAAGGGCTTTTCCTTCTTGGTGAAAACCTCCTTAACCACTTGATCACTTCCTCTTTCGTTTTTCTACCACAGCAGGGTAGAGACCTTTATTTCTATATTTACATTTGTTTACATGTCTGCATTTTCTATGAAACTGAACTCCTGAGTACAGAAACTCTATCTTATTGGTCTCCACATCCCTATCACAGTGTTAGGTATAGTATAAAGGGTCAATAAATATAAAATGAGTGAATGAATGAACAAACATACCCACCCCCAATTAACTAATACAAACTCTAATTTGAAAAAACCTACTGAGATTTTTAATTTTTTTTTCCAAGTTAAAAAGTAGAGTATCAACTGCAGAACAGAAAAACAAATCAGGATTTAAAAGCAAACAACTTTAATAAATTGAGTTCTCTTACCTTTTTGAAGAAAAAGTGATTTGCTAAATGGTTCAATACCATGGGGTTGCTAGGATCAATAGTATAGGCTCTGGAAAGAAGCTGGACACCATTTTTGATGGAATCAGCCTAAAAGAAAAATGATGACAACAGGGCCATTATTTAATCAGCATTTTTTTTTTTTTGAAATTAAAATTTTTTTAACGTTTATTTATTTTTGACAGAGAGAGAGATAGAGCATGAGTTGGGGAAGGCAGATAGAGAGGGAGACACAGAATCTGAAGCAGGCTCCAGGCTCTGAGCTGTCAGCACAGAGCCCAACGCAGTGCTCGAACTCAAGGACCTCGAGATCGTGACCTGAGCCAAAGTCAGACGCTCAACTGACTGAGCCACCCAGGCACTCCTAGCATCTCTGAAATTTAAGAGAGCAAGCTGAGGACGAGGTGTTTTGGAGGTGGATTCCTTCATTTAAACCAGAGGGATCAGGGCACCTGGCTGGCTCAGTTGTTAAGTATCTGACTCTGCCTCAGGTCAGGACCTCATGGTTCGTTTAATCAGCATTTTTTGAAAATTTTCTTTATAGTCTGAAAAATAGGTTATATAAATCTAAGTTCAGACACCAAACATAGCTCTTATTTAGTTAACATTCAGCAGGGATAAAAAAAATTTCAAATACTGAGTTAAATTGTTAGAACCTCCCTCACAAAAAGCCCCCTTCTAGTTTTATAGATTTTAGCTGTCTTCTTGGTGTGGCAGATGTTTGTGGATTACCCAACAGCTTGTACACCCTTCTTACCCTGTTAACAGAGGCCACACTTTACAGCCTGTGGAGATTTTTTAATTTCAGGAAGGAAAGTTCCCTTTTCCTCTTTACAAACCTCAGGGGATGAATGATGACTGATCTAAAACAGTTAAGATAATCTATTTCCCTTCTCTGGGGATTGGCCCAGGCACTTCTAAACTGGGGGTAATGTCATTTTTTTCATTATCACAACAGGGCGGATGTGCTGGCATGTAGTGGGCAGAAGTCAGGGATTCTGCTGATCAGCCTACCAACGGGTAGGATAATTTCCCACGACAAAAAACTATCTAGCCCCATATGTCAATAGTGCTGAGAAACCCTGATAACCCTGTCTAGACAATTATACACAAGGGGAAGCATGATGGAGACAGAACTGCTCTAACAGAAAGCCGTTTATCCTTTCCCTTTCCTCCCTCCATATCAGGCTGATGAAATGATGAGATGCCTGGAGATGCAGCAGCTATCTTGCAACTATGAGGTGACAGACATGAGAAGGAAAATCCACATACTAAGGACAGAAAGATGTAAAACTTTGGGTTTAATGATACTGAGGTGCCAAATCCAAGACCTTAGATAGCTGGTTTAGTGGATGATAAAACCCCTCATGTTTAAGTCACTGTAGTATGCTTTTTGTTACTTGCAATTGAAAGCATGCCAAACTGATATACAACCTACCAACTCCTCACCTGAAATTCTGAAATCCAAAAACTTCTTAAAACACAAGCTGTTTTGTAATCTTGCAGTAAGCTCACTTGGTGGCAAAACTTTACCTGAATTGTGAGGTTACCCTATTAGTGTGAACAGTCACTCACTCTGACACAGAAATACATGTTTGCATTTGGGGTGGTGTCCTAATACCTGGGTATTATATATTATGCAGTCCAGCATCATATTATAGTTCTATTACATGAAATCTTATTAAATGTTTATTTACTTAATTTGAGAGAGAAAGGGGGGATGGAAGAACAGAAAGAGGAGACAGAGAATCCCAAGCAGGCTCCACACCGTCAGCACAAAGCCTAATAATGCAGAGCTTGAACTCACAAACTGTGAGATCATGACTTGAGCCAAAACCAAGCATCAGATGCTTAACCAACTAAACCACCCAGGCATCCCAATAACCTATTACCTGCAGTCTTGACCTCTAAAACACTTTGGTCTCAAGAATTTTAGATAAGGAACAGTAAGTCTGACAAATCAGTCAGGAAATTTTTTTTTCACTCACATACCTCTTTATTGTTGAGTTCTAGTACAGCCAGTCCAACCAATGCTCCCACACATTTGGAGTTGAGTTCCAGGGCTCTGCTGAATGCCAGACGAGCTTTTTCCAGTTTGTTAAGTTTCACAAAGCAATGGCCCATTCCTAAACGAACTTCCGCTAAAAAACCAGTCATTCAGTCTGTCAAACTAGGACATTTTTAGGGTTCAAATTAAACAAAATACTTAAACATTGAGCCTCAAAATCCTGAAATTAACCTCAGTATATTTACACTACAAAATCTTCTGGTAGACCACAAACTTGCTTTCAGTGGATAGTATACCATACTGCTCTCCTCCTTTCTCATCATAAACAGAACACCTACAATACTGGTATTTCTCTTGTCTTCCAGCACTCCTGGTTACACTCTACCTTCAGTGTCTTAATTTTTGAAGAGAAATTTTTAAACAGAGAGCAAAAAGCTTCAGTAAGGTCTTCAATATCGTGCCTGACTACATGCACATACTGTCATTCTCTTCAGAGCTATGCTTACACATGCTCCCCAATTTTAAGGCCATGCCAAAACTCTACCATGTTCCCATGAAGGGTCAACCTCTCCACTGGTTGGTCATGAGATCTCACCCCTTCTCATTTATTTAAGGACACTGCTTCAGCAACCCTCTCCTCTTTTTCCTGCATTATCAAATTTTCTATATCAGATCATTCTCATCCATATACATTCTCCCATCTTAAAAAGATCTTCTCTTGATTCCATTTTCCTTTCCAATTGTCAACCCACTCCTATTCTTCCCCTGAGAACAAAACTCCTTGACATATCTATCTACAGGTGTGTGCTGCCTCTAATAACTTTCCTTTTCCATTATCTTCTTAAATGCATTCCAACAAGGATCTCACCCCCACCATTCCAGTAAAACTGCTTTTATCAAGGTCACTAATGCTTAGTATGCTGCTGAATTCAATGATTGATTCTCAGTCCCTACTTTACTTGACCTAACAATAGAATGTGATACTGTCTGATGTCTTGTCCTGGAAACATTTTACACTGGATTTCAAGGACATTGCACTTATTCTCTTTTCCTCCTACATCTGGCTGCTCCTTCTCAGGCTCCTTTGCTGCATCTTCCTCATTTCCCTAACCTCTACAATGCCAGAATTCCCTAGAACTCCATCTTTGGGCCTCTTTTCTACCTACACTCACTCCCCTGGCGACCTCATAGTTTCATGGCTTTATACATCACCTATATGTTGACGACTTCCAAATTAATTACTTCAGCTCAGACCTCTTTCCTGAACTACAGCCCTCCTGACCTCTCCAGTTGTACATCTAAAAGGTATTTTAAAATTTTCATGTTGAAAAATAATTCTTCTTGAACTATTTTCCAGATATACTAAAATGTAACTCTACTCTTACAGTCGCTTATGCAAAGGAGTTACCTTTGATCCCTCCTTTGGCCCATACATCACACCTACTCTGTCAGTTGCTCATATATCACATCTAAAACTCTGTCAGTTCGTCCCTCAAAGTATACATAGAATCTGATCACTTATACCTCCACTACTGCCACCCTAGTGCAAGCCACAATCATCTCTGACCCACATGACCGCAACAGCTTTCTGCCTGGTCTCCCTACTTCTATCTTTGCCCCCCTGCCCCACTCTAGTCTCAGCCCAGAAGCTCAAAATGATCCTTTCAATATGAGTCAGATCATGTTACTTACTCCTTTGCCCAAAGCCCTCCAATGGCTTCCTATGTCTGTCAGAGTAAAAGCTAAAGTCCTTATACTAATCTATTATGCCTTACATGACTGGTCCTTGGTTATATCTTTGACTCAGTTCTTACTACTTTTCCTCCTCATTTTCCCTCTTGATTCCAGACACACTAGCTTCCTCACTGTTCTTGAAACCTGCTAGGCCCACTCTTTCCTCAGAGTCTTTGTACCTCCTATTACCCCTCTCTGGGAATAATCTTCTCCCATTTAATCTACATGCTTATTATTTTAAGGTTTTTACTCAAATGTTACTGTTTCACTGACATATTTTCCTTATTTTTTCTAAGCAAATCCCCAGTTCTTCTCATATACCTTTTCTGCTTTACTTTCCTTTTACCACTATCTTGCATAGTTTATATTTTACTCGTTTTATCTTCTCCACTGGAAAATGAATTCCATGGGGGCAAGGATTTTTGTCTCTTTGGTTCATTGCTGCATTCCTTGGGTCTAGAACAATGCCTGGCACATAGTTGATTCTCAATAAGATTTCCTAAATCACTGATTTTCAATAGAAAAATAGTGTAAGAACAAAAAGATTATAAGATGATCTGCTATTCAGCTTTTGGATCAAACATAACATTTTTTAAAAATTTCAATTCTTTCAATAACCCTATAGCATCTTTTCACAACTAACTTCATAGGCAACTGTCAAATCCTCAATATTTTCACTTGGATCATACACAGCTTAGACTTAAAGTTTTTCTCTTACCTGGACATCCTGGGTTAGTACGCAATGCTTTCTTATAGTAAGCAAGAGCTCCTCTGTAATCCTTCTTGTTGAATGAAATGCAAGCTTTCCCTAAATGATTTTTAAAGATAAACATGAGTTGTTTAAAAAACACAAGTCTCATACACTCTACATGAACTCACCTAAATCAAATACATCTCTGAATAAGAAATACTTGAATACAGTAAAAATGATTTCATATCAAAACCTGTTTTCCATAAGAATATATTAATGTATGCTTATAAATAAGTCATATTAAATATTATAAAACAATAAGTAAAAGAGCTGACCGTTGTCCAAATAGAAATTGCTTATTGACTCTTTAGAAGTGGATTACAGATTATTCTTAACTGGTATAGCTTCTATTTATGTAGCTTAAAAAGAAACAATGATCATAGATCACTGTAGATCTTATTTATTTACGTATTTATTTATTTACGTGACAAGGAGGGCACAAATGAACAAGGTATGGAGGGGGAGAAGGAGAGAGGGAAAGAGGGAGGGAGGGAGGAGGGAGGGAGAGAGGGAAAGAGGGAGAGAGGGAAAGAGGGAGACAGAGAGAGAGAGAGAGAGAGAGAGAGAAGTGGGGCTTGCCCAAAGTGGGGACTGCTTTTTTTTTTTTTTTTTTTTTTTTTTAACCCGAAGCAGGGCTCGTGTTCACTGGAAGTGGGGCTTGAGCTTACTGGATGCGGGACTCAAACTCAGTAACCCACTAACCGTGAGGTCATGACCTGAGCTGCAGTCAGATGCTTAACCGACTGAGCCACGTAGGTGCCCTGCAGATCGTTTTTATAAGGTAAAGCTCTTCTATGCTGCTGTCTAGGCCAAAGAAATATATTCCAGGCATATGATGAAAAACAGTTTCCTAAAATGGCTGCCAAAAATACCTTACCAAGAAGGGCTGGAATATTATTTGGAGACTGGTTGAGTACAAAATGAAACTGTGCATCAGCCTGATCCATTTTGTCACCTTCCAGTAGGCAGAAGCAGGCTCTTCCTAACAAGTGGTTCTGAAAAAGTAATACATCATCTTAGACTTGACTTTACCAAAGACTAACCATAATTTACCATGAATATACAACAATAAAATGAAAACTATATAGGAAGGAGGTGGAGTATCACACAAATTCTTCTATTGACTATAATGTGTTTGAACTACCAATAGGTAATTCTTAATTACAAATCAAGAAATTATCCAGAAATGCAAGTCGTCTGTGCCAGGAACAATGACGAAAAGAAAAGTTAGACTCCTTAAAATATGCCTGAAATTCACCTGGAGATGAAAGAATTATTGACTCAACATGTGGATAAGTTTTATGTATGCTAAATTTGCCCACATGACTTCAACAGTACAACAACCAAAGAAATTTCCATTTTAACAAGGAATTCCTTCTTTTGACTATTTATTATCAACCACGTTATTTTAAGAAAAATTCTTTCAAAAAAAAAATCTGTTGCCTATCACACACATTTTATTTCATGTGGTATTTTTTTTCCCTTTCATAAATTCAAAGAAATCTTATTTTACCTGATCATACATAATAATTTTATCGGCCATGGTATACAACAGGGTTGCCTGTGTAATAAGATCTTTCTTATTATCCTTATTCTTTTCCTTCCGAGCCTGTTGTACATAATAGGCTGCCAATGTATCCAAGCAGGTCATCTGGTCTTTCTCATGGTCTCTATAGTCCAAATTGCCATCTATACGTGCTGCTTCCAACAACTTTACAAACTCTTCTGTTTTTCCTTGCTTGTAATATTCCAGCTAAAAGGTAAAGAATCAGATTAGGATTATTAAAGCATATGTCCATACAAAAAGATGCATACAAACATTTACAGCAGCTCTGTCTGTAATAGCCAGAAACTGGAAACAACTCGATTGTTGATCAACAGGTGAATGGATAAACAAGCAGTGATAATCTGCTTGTGGTATAATGGCTGCTGCTCAGTAGAAAAAAGTAAAGAACTACTCATACATACTACAATGTGGATAAATCTCAAGATGATTATGCTGAGAGAAGACAGACCAAAATGAGTACATATTGAAATGATTCCACTTGTATAAAACTCTAGAATATGCAATCTTTAGCAACAAAAGCAGATCAGGTGTAGGCTAAGCACCATGGGGGGTGGGAAAGAGTCTGGAAGAAGGTTTTAGGGAGTGATGGATATATTATTCTTGATTGTGGTGGTGATTTCACAGGGGTGAAATATGGTAAAACATCTCAAATGGTACATGTCAAATATGTGCAGTTTATTATAGGTGAATTATGCCTTAATAAAGCTGTTAAAAAAGTGATAATCACTATCAATGTTTCCAAATTACTACTTAGCTAGCAGTAGTTGATTTCAAACTAAATCAGAGCCCAAGAGAAAAAGCAATAAGGAGAGGGACAGGGATACAGAATTCTAAACAGAAAACTTAGGCTCTGGTTCTAGATCAATCAAAATTATCCATGACTTTGGGCCTGCTGAATAACTTCCTTGGGCATTTGTTTCATTTACTAATACTAAAAAGAATATTCATCATTTATTAACTACTATGAGCCACAGACTGCACCAGGAGCTTTACATACTTATCTTTAATCTACACAATCTACTACAATCTAATCTACTATAATCACTCTTAAAGTGAATACTAACATCACATTATAGATGAGAAAACAGGCTCAGAAGGTAGATCGTTTGTCTAAGGTCACACAGCTAGTTAGCAGCCAAGTAGGAATTTGAACAAAGGTCTCTCTGATCCCAAAGCCTACACTCTTTTCTTTGTACCATACTACAGCCCACAATGTTTCATCAATTTTACCACAGGTACCATGCTAATACTTCAATCTTCCATTTTTTCTGTAAGTGCTGTTAAAGAAGGCATTACACTACAGAAAATCTAAATTCCCTCTGGCTTTAAAAACTATGTGACAAGCATTAATGGCTTGTTCTCCACAGACTAGGAAAACGACACTTCAGAAAGGCACTATTGTCACTAAAAGCATTTCTCTGTAAATCTATATCTAAGAAATTCTTTACAGTTAAGTTTGAGCACTGGATATAAGTTCAATTCTAGATCTACTTCTACCTTTCAAGATAATATAAGGTACCTCCTATGTATCTTTACATGAAAGTGACCTGTGGCACACTTGCTTTGCAAAAATGAATGCAGTATATGTTGTATTATATTACCAGAATAATCTACTAGGATGTTCTCACAAAAAGGAAACATTAGGCAGTCAGTTCTGGGGAGAGTGAAGGATGTTAGAATTTTAGGCTCTCTGAAGTGATTCTCCTGAGAATCTCCAGGAGGGTTTATGCTGTGGAAGGGATCAAAGAGGACAAAAAACAAGACTGAGATAAACTTCACCCCAAAGAGCTTTTGTGAGCGAGCCCGGAATGTAATCACTTTCTAGAGTATTTTATGGGAAATGTTTTATTGTTATGGACAACAACACTAAGTAATGTTTACATGGTGGTATCTTGTTTTTTCTCAGATTATCTACAAACCATAAGCCAGTCTTCACTGAGTAATTAATAAATAATCAAATACTCAGCACAGAATAACGTTTAATGTAAATGAATTTTGCCTTTACCAACCCATACTAATTTACCAGTGGACTAGCACATCACTTGGGAAACTGGTCTTCTTGTTCTATAAATGGTAATACAATTAACTTCCACACACATGGTACAATTTACTTATCATGCTCCCAAGCTGGCTATTACTGTATCTGGAAATAGAAATCATAGGTTTTTCCAGTCAACATATAAAAAATATTTGTTACATGAACACTGACCGCCAAAGCAATCCATATGTGCAGTTGTGTGTGTTCCTGTTTCAGAATACTGATAACTTCGTCTCCCTCCGGTAACTGATCGAAGTCAAGTTCAATGACCTAAAACACAAAATGTAGGTTTTAACTTTTATTTCTTCCTTAAATTCACATTTCTTCTTTGCTGCTTTTCAGAATATACATCAACATGGATACACAGAGGGTTTGTGTTCACTTTCAATAGGGATGAGCAAATATATGTTAAGAAATGTTTAAGGCACACATGTCAAATAGGTCATATGGTAATATTAAGATAAAAGCATAGAGAAGCCAACAAATACCGCTAGTTGTCTTCAAATCACTAGAACTATAAAATGTTCCAAAAGCTTTGCTTGCTCAAAAATAACAAAACCAAACCCTGGTTAACACATAATGCAGGTAGAGTGCAGAAAAGCACCCCAGACACTCTGATGCTATAGGTCTGACAACTTGAGAGGCATAATCCAGAGGCAATGCAAAGTTGAATGCCCCTGTACACATTAATCAGGGAGACAGCATTTGCGTGTCACTGACACTCCTGAAAGTGGGCACAAAAATTACCAGTAGGTGAATGTTCTGGAATTAGATAGTGGTTATGGTTACACAACTTTGCAAATACTACTGAAAACCAGTGGATTTGACGCTAAGTGAATTATATCTCAGTATCTTATCTCAACCCAACAAAAGTACAAGTATGAGATATATATATATTGGATATAAACATCACTGCTGAGAGCTTTACTCAGACAAGCCCCAGACTACCCATGATGAGGCGTGGGAAGGGAGACAGGGTTAAATTCTATCTGTGCACAGTGGAGGCTATATCTCTGGGTCTCTATTTCGCTGATGGAGCCGTGTGTGGAGGACACAGTGCACCATGACAGACGCGAGTTTCTAAGGGATAAAGGGCGACTCCTATGTACTCTCTGGGAAAGATAGTTTGAGCAGCAGAGAGACCACGGTGACATCAGCGCCCACCTCTTTTATCTGAGGTGCCTTACAATTTATCGGCACTCTCACACCCCTGCGCCCGTGAATTAGGAAGAGAGCAGAGTACTGTAACAGACGAACAGGTAGGAAAGGAACTTTCAAGTACTCCTCGGGGTGGCTCCGAGGCTGCGGGGACGTGATGTTCCCAGCCTGGGAAGGTGCAGGAGCTGGGGAAGGAGGTGGCTGGGATTTCGGCGGGGGATTTCGACCTGGGCTCCTGGGGGAGAAGGTGCTCTCGCTTAGGAGACGAAGTCGAAGAGAAGGGGAGAGGAAGAGATCGTCCAAGTTCACGGCCCCCACCCTCCCCCATACGCGACACTTACCTCGTCAGTGTCCCGGAGGGGAATCTCGATGGAGCCCCGCGACATGATGAGATCAGAAGGCGAGCGGGCGTCTCGCCCCTCCGCTCCGCAGCCGGTACTCCTGGCTTCTGGCTCGTCCAGAGGCTAGCGGCCGCCCGGGATCAGGTCGTGACTGCCGCCCCGCGGCGCCGCCGGGGCTTCGGCTTCTCCTTCCCGTCAGCCGCTTAAACAACGAACAGCAGACGGCGTCCGGCCACTTCCGGCAGCCCCGCCCCCTGCCCCGGAAGCATTCCCCGCGGGAGGGCCTGTCGGACGGCAGGCTCAGCCTGTGTCTCTGATGTTTCCTTGACGATGTTTCCTTGACTCTGAAATGACTGCGCCGAGGTTTTCGTTAGCGTGCCAGCTCCTCGGTGGGTCTGCGGCTTCCGAATCAGACCCGCACTGGCGCGGCGTGAATAAAAGCGCCGAAGGCGTAGCCGACCCGCCCCGTGGTGGGCGGACGACGAATGAGGCTCGAGTTCGGGGCCTGGCCACTGACTGACGTGGGACCTCCCGCCAATTCTGGCAATAGTGTCCGAGCCGGACTCCGCCTCTGTGCCCCGGAGTTGGCCGATCTTTTCTTCTGTAGATTGCCGTGAATAATTCAATCATGCATTCCTCAGCCCTGTCAGGGGCTCCTCCTTTAGCAGATATTAGGTGCAAGTCATACCTGTGCTACCTTTGTGATCAGTTTAAATGTAAATGTTCCGGTGAATTCTGTAATCATTATGACAGTTCTGTATTTTATGTGTGCGCGTGTGTTGTGTGTGTGTGTGTGTGTGTGTGTGTGCGCGCGCGCGTGTTTTCGGTTCTTGGAAGCATATGAGAATCTGCTGGATTTGTGATTTTAATAAAGTTGTTGAAGAATGTGATTAAACCTGTAATCTGTTTTGATTGCATTATAGAATTCGATTAAATACGTTTTAATTACTGTTTTCAGTGTAGAATATGATTAATAGTCTGTAATCAATGTTTTCATTCAATCAGATAAGAATCTAAGTTTTTAAACCACGTCAGTTTTACCTCCTAAATGCCTCTCAGGTGTATCTTCTCTTCATCTCACTACCTCCATTCTAGCCCGGAACCAATATCATCATTTTGATGCCTGGATTACTGCAGTGGTCTCCCGTTTTACCTAATACTCCATCCACTTCCCCTAAAAGCCCTAAATTCCAATCCAGCATCAGCATGTTATACACTTACCTTTTAAAAGCACCAACTCGACATTTGTATTTCCTCCTAACTCCCTCAAAAACTTTAAGTGGAAACTTTGTAAGCCTTTTTATGTGGAAACTTTGTTAAATTTGTTTTGGTTAGTTGAGTAAACTATTTCAACATTAAGGGCTGTGCTGTCCTAACATAATGCTAACTCTGTAATTAGTCATGTAATTTTAAATAAGCTAGGTGATTTACAGTTTTCTATTAGCCACACTTAAAAAGCAAAAGCAAGTAGATGAAATTGATTTTAGTGACATATTTTATTTAACCCAATATATCCAAAATAGAGTTTCAACAGGTAATCAATATAAAAACTGAGATAATTTACATTTTTATACAAATCTTAGAAATCCATTATGTACTTTACACTTACATGCTTTATTCTTAATTGCTTAATTTCAATTGGAAATTGATTTCATAAAATTTAGATTTCTTAAAATTTGCAGTTGCAAAAATAGATTCACATATTTGAGTTTTTCCAAGCATGCTTAAGTTTTCCAAAAACTGAAGCAATTATCAGTTTTAAATGTTAATTAAAAATAAATGAAATTAAAAATTCAATTCCTCAGTTGCATTAGCCATATTTCCAGCGCTCAATAGCCACATATGCTTAGAAAATACTGTTTGGGACAAAACAAGACAACATTTCCAGGAAATACTGCTTACTACATATTAATGTTTATAAAGTGAGCTTTGTACAAAAGTACACATATTGGTGAATGTTCTTCTCCATGCTCAAAACCTCCCTGGCCTTGAAGACCCTAGCAATATGTTTGAATTTGTCGTTGAGTTACTGACAACCAAAGGCATCCTAACCGATAATGCAGACATTATGACTGATTGAATAATAGGAGAATAGATTTAGATTGGGATTTGGAGGAAGTGATACTTAAGTTGTAACTGGGAAAATGAGTAAGATTTGGCTCCATAAAGGCTACAAGAGAGTGTGTACCAGACAGGGAACAGTGTGCTGGGGGAAGAGTTGGTGAACCTGAAAGAAGGCCATGTGGCTGGAACATAGATATGGGAAGCATAACATAAGTTGAGGGCAAAGACATCAGAAGTAGCCACATCATGCCCAGATTTATCCACATAAAGCAAAATTAGCACCTTTCCCTGCTTCCAATATGAGAAAGTATGTATGTCACATACCACAGTTAAGAAAAACAAAACACTTTGTGCTCTGAGGTAAGCCAAAAAAGGACAGTGTCATACTATCTATAGTCTCCAAAGTGAATAAAACCTTTAGCCTTTCTCGCATGTTACTGATTCCCTAAAAAAAATAATTTAATTGCTGACTTTTGTAATGCTGACTTTTCTAAGTCTGATGATATGCAATAATTTGGGGGAGTATGGCAAACATATGAGAAAGTTGCTTTTTCCATTATGAACCATATAACCTTGGGGACCGTGTTTTGTGAACCAGTCCTTCTAAAGTTGAACTCAATTGTAACCTTTTGCAAGTGTTTTTCTAAGAAATCTTTTTTTTTTTTCTAAATGCTTTTGTCTCTGAGACTTCTTTTGGCAAAGGATATGTTATGGAGTTGGGATTTTATCTTAGGTGCAATGTAACTGAAAGTTTTAAGTGATGTGTATATGTTTCAATCAGCATGTGCCTGTGATAAAGAATTGATTTTGTCATTTTAAAAGATTGTTCTGGTTACATTGTGTAGAATAGATTAGAGTGTTTGAGAGGATGTGGGCAGACCACTTAGGAAACTAGTCCTGGTGACTGGCCAGGTAACACATGATAAACAGCTAGGAATAGGTTTAAGGTAGTGGACATAGTATATCTCCATTTCTCTCTACCTCCACTATAATCAATCAATCAATCAATCAATCTTAATCACTAGGTCTTGCTAATGCATTATATATACAGGTCATTGAAAAAGTAGTGTCAGGAAGAACTTCCAGAGTTCTGCCATCAATTGCTGGGTGATTGAAGTGTCATTTTCCAAGATAGAAATGATTATAGAGGAGTACATTAGGGCAAGACTACATCACTACTTGGGTATCAGAGATATGTCTGAGACAGATATCGGACAGGTTGGATATACAGATTTGGAGCTCAAAAGACAGTTTCTGGGCTAGAGAAAGAAGTCTGTGAGCTGCTGACATATAAATGAAATTTAAAACTATGGAATTGTGTAAGATAATCTAGGGAGAGGATGTAGAATGACAAGAGAAGGCCCGGACCAAGCTCGAGGCATTCTAGCATATAGCGGGCACGGAGGGGAAGAGGGTCTGCAGGGATCAGAATACTGGATAGAGAGAAAAATCACCTGACAACAATTGGGACCGAAATTGCGACTCTTTACTCTGGTACTTACAGGCAGCTTCTTATTTTTCCCTAAGCTTAGCAGATATGGACGATATAGGCATTTTAAACTATATAGATCTAGTTTTGGAATGAGTACAGAGATTTTATTTCAACTGGTGTGATTGTGCGGTGTTGCTTCACGAAATGCCATTCACCACATTGGGCCTGACTGCACCAGATGAAGGTAAAGCAATTAGTGTATTTGGTCAGTGTGGACTTTGTTGAGTACATACTCAAGAGAGACAGCTAAGAGTCTTTAGTTTTCTGTTGTTGGTACTGTGGTTGGTTGCAGTGTTGGTAAATACATATGTTTACGCAATCCAAAGAGTGAGCTATTTTATAGGCTGATACAATATGCTAATTATTAAAAAGAGATAAAGAATAGTTGATCTTAAAGAATGTTTGACATCTTAAATCAGATCTCTTGTATTTATTTATTTATAAAGTTCTTAAGCTTTTTTTTTTAATGTTTATTTATTTTCGAGAGAGACACAGAGTGCAAGCATGGGAGGGGCAGAGTGGGAGACACAGAATCTGAAGCAGACTCCAGGCTCTGAGATATCAGCACAGAGCCTGACGGGGGGCTCAGACTCATGAACCGTGAGATCATGACCTGAGCCAAAGTCGGACACAACCTACTGAGCCACCCAGGTGCCCCTGGGCAGTTGTTTTATAATCTACACCATAATTTCCTCTGGGTTTTCAATAAACATTCATCTCTAAAACATGAGCTTATTTTTAGGAATTTAAAACTACATGAAATGCTCCCTTAGGTAAGAGCTGAGAACATAAAGGTAAACAGCCCTAATTTGATTGTCAGTGAAAAACTGTGATGGGAATCTTGGTTCTGGAAAATTAGAATAACCAGAAAATCCTCCAGTCGTAAAACACCTAGATATGCTGGATTAAAAACCCAACAAGAACAACATAGTAAATGTCCTTGTAAATGCATAGCTGAGAGATCTAATGATCTGAATAACAGGCATTTAAGCCTATAAGGGTGCCTGGGTGGCTCAGTCGGTTACGTGTTGGACTCTTGATTTGGGCTCAGGTCATGATCTCACGGTTTGTGAGATGAAGCCCCCAGTTCATCTCTGTGCTGACAGAGCAGAGCCTGCTTAGGATTCTCTCTCTCCCTCCCTCTCTCAAAATAAATAAACATTAAAAAAATATTTTGAAAAGTAAAGGAATTTGAGCCTATACTAAGACTGCCCAGAGAGCGGTGGATGCAAGAAGGATGTTGTTTTCCATTACTTCCAGGACTTGAGTTTTAATGCTCACAGAGACAGAATTAGAGGCTTTGGGCCCATGCTGCAAGCCCTTAAAAACTACACCCTCAGCACAAGGGGCAGTGGATAGGGTGGAACTAAAGAAAAAAGTCCTACCAAGACAGATGACAGTCTGGTGTCTGGATTTACAAGTTGCAAATGGTGGTGGTAGTGTGACAGAGGTGGTTGGGAGAGGGGTGTGAGAGTTTCACGTGAGAATT